GAGAGAGAGAGAGAGAGAGAGAGAGAGTGAGAGAGAGAGAGAGAGAATGTGAGGGAGTACTAGAGTGATGCGGACCTATAAGACAGGGATGTGAGGGAACTGTTATTAAACTCGGTTCAATTGAAATACACTGTAAGACACAGAGAGTGACTATTTATGGACTCTTATTACTGGTTTGGGTCAACGCTTTTCAACACAAAACACAAATTCAATTTTAGGTGACTATAAGGGTGTGAAACAAATTAATGAACACATCGATTGATAAGTGAAATAACAATACAAAACTTTTATCGTAAATACAACACGTCTGTACGACATGACCAAAAATACACATAAAATACAAATATCTGGAGAATTATAAACGAGAGAGAGAGAGAGAGAGAGAGAAAGTTGATTGAATCCTGTAATAACTTTAATGAAGGGCAATAAGGTTTACATTGAAAACACATCTCNGAGAGAGAGAGAGAGAGAGAGAGAGAGAGAGAGAGAGAGAGAGAGATAAAAGAGTTAGAGAATAATTCTTTCGCTGCCGTCATATTTAACACACAATTTATTGGTGTAATATTTTTACGTCACTTTTTCTTCCCTCTGTTTCCAACTTATCTCTCAAACAAATATACAATTATTTTGCTTTCTTTCAATACGAGAAACCTATCGCTTCTGTTATGACTTCTTCTCTCGATTTCTTTATTTTGTCATTAATTTCACTTAAAAGACATTGAACTTCATTTTGCCAACAAATATATAGTGAATATATGTTTCAAAATATATACTAAATATAGCGATAGTCTTGTACTACATATTGACTTTCGGTTTGTTATTTTCGGATATCATTTATTTCTATTAATATAAAGAATTCTTTACTTTGTATTTCTGTATTCCATATGATATGCGAGTGTTTTACTACTTTAAGTATGATTTTTATTATCTATTTTTAAGTGTAAACAATGTTTTGTGCTTTTTGTTGAAATTTACAATTTATTAAATAATTAGATTATTATTATAAATGATATTCTATTTAAAAGTTGACATTTATTTATTTCGTAATATTTTGCTAATTACATAATTTTATATAATTTTAAATTGTTAACTGTAAGAATAAAGTTATTTTTATAGGGTTATTAAGTAAGTATAGTATTTCGTTTGTTATAATATAATTTGACCACAAATTCTGATTGGTTGAGACTAAATTGGTTTGATTAAAATTATAATTTCTTGATATTTTGAATGAATTTTTGCACTTTACCGCAATAGTTAAGGAAACATAACGTAAAAATATTTTACTGATACATAATCTCTGTTATTAAAAAAGTATTCAAACATTTAACTAAAAGTATTTACATATTGATGAATATGTTAATAAATGTAATGCTATATATTATTTATTAGAGACAGACAGTAGTTTTATTTTTGATATGAATCAAAATATTCTGGCATTTATTTTATTTTTTATTTTAATCATATTTATTGTAATAATAGATGACAAAAGCTAATTGAATAAATGTCATAATCTAATTAAAATATTTAAATATATTTGCTAAAATATTTGCACACATTTTTAATACAGAATAAAGATTTAAGTAATTATTAAAATTTTAATTAGAGAATGTAACAATGTATATTTTAATTGTTCCCTAAAAGCAACTATAATTACGGCATATAATACTTGAAATGTTATACTATTTTTGTGTTATTT